AGGTCCTTCCTTAATCTGATCCCTCCACCTCCTCTTTGGAACTCCTCGTGGTAACCTACGTTGGGCTTCAACTTTTATTGCTTTCCTCAGCTCACTCCGACGGTTCTCGATAATAATCTCACATATCTCTTCTCTCTTACACTTTTTATCTGTTTTCCACCACTTGATATCACGATCTAGCCCTCTATCATTATAGAAGTTAGTTTGGTATCCCTTTCTAGCTCTCTACCGTACTTATTTAGAACTCATCCAATATATTAGTGTTAGAGTGGGATGTGTGCTGGGACCACGATTTTCACAATAGACATAAGGACGCCGGTAATGCACACTCACATAATATTTGGCATTACCATATAATAATTTTTATGGATGCGTTTCGACTCCAATTTGAGCTCATAAGCAAGTGGAAACAGGAGGGTCAGTCAAGGTCGAGAATGATCTGGTCTATCCATGATTGTGCAGTTTTCAAAAACACAAGGAACACATAGCAAAGGGTTGCATATGTTTTTATTTCAAAACAAAGTGGTCTCGAAAATTCATTAAAGCTTTGTCCAATACGCCACTGTAACACTTTCCAACCAGTAATGCATTCTTCCTACGTAAACAGCCTGTTCTGAACAAGATGTGCGATCAGGCTCCACCTGGGTTCAATTTAGGAAATAACTAGTAAAAAAGTAATCTTCAGTGATAATACCATAAGAAAATGTCACATATCTATTACACATGCCGCACATGCAGAGCTCTTTACAAATAAAAGGCACAGATCCCGGTAACTTCGGCATTTTTATTGGGTCATATGAGGAAAGAGGGCTGGGCAGATATATGATGACGAGTAGGGATACTTGTGAAAGATTTCAACAGCTGTAGAGCAACGTGACCGCAGCAGGTCGTGGGTGCGTTGCTAACATTGAGGCCTTGTTGCTCTATCAAAGATACTCCGAAATTCACATTCCCGTATATTTTTGCGCTTGCTCTGACAGCTTTTCGGAACTGAGAACTTTGAAACAGTTCTGTTATATTATGTTGTTGCTAAAAATTCAAAGGAGGTTCACGGCTAGAAAAAATGAAATATTAATTGAGATATTTTGCCAATGGGGTTACTCCGTATTGATTGAAAGCACTTTCATGAATGAACGAGTATTCGCAGAGATTGTGCCATGCACCGTTGATCTCGTAAGAATACATCCAATAACCTTGGCTGCCGATATCGCGAAGCAGCCACACCGTCTCCGATGGGGTTCCATGAACTTCGATAAGAATCTGAAACTGAAAGTTATTAACCAAACGGTCAAACGAAAAAGG